CGAAATTTGAGGGGGGGGGGGGGGTGCAAATTAAAATCTTAAGGGGGGGGGGGGTGTGCGAATCGAAAAGTTTGTCCCCGGCCGCCGGGACGGATCGCTACGCCTCTGGGTCGGGGTCAGTTATGAAAATCAAGTGGTCGCAAATGCACGAGGGTAAACTGGGGTGGGTAGAATAAAAAAAAACAACATGATTTTCGACGAACAATGGCCGCTGCTAACAGAACTTAATGAACAAAACGACAAACGACAGAAATAGCTTGTACATGAGTGCTTGTCGTAATTGTATTGGCTAAAATATCACATTACTCAACAAACAGTTCCAGGAAGCTTAATTTGTCATGTATATTACTATTAATACAGTGTTAAAACGTAAAACAGAAGCTCTGATTGTTTCAAATGATGACTAGTTTTACTATTCAGAGGCTGTAAACAGATTCCCTATGAGACCTACTTAGTAATGACCTTAACTGCGGAAAACAAATGTACACTTAATAAAATAGAAAACAGCAAGTTGATAATTTAAACAATCTTTAGTATTATTTTTAAAAAGCTATATTAAACTTAATTTTTTTTACGCCAAATGTAATCAAATAATCTCCATCCTACACCCACGCTATCAGACGTTTATGCTCATGTAGAGGTTGTAGAGTTGATGTGGTCTAGGCCGCTTGGGGAGTTTGACATTGCTCAAGGGAGATTATTCCAAATAACTTCATGAAATTCGTTTTAACAGAAACAACAAGGAGGAGTGGTTGAGTGACAGAGCATATACTAATGACCTGTGTGGAAATATATTCAGAGTCCAGGCAGTGGCGTAGCGAGATCGGGTGTCACCCGGTGCGGCACTTAATGGTGACACCCCCCCTCCCCCAGAGGCGTAGCGACTCTTCCCGGGGACAGACTTTCAATTTTCGATGTGCACCCCCCCCCCTCGAAATTCGATTTGCACCCCCTCCCTCAAATTTCTCTCTATATATTTTTACTATTTTTTGCCTTGATGTCACGGTGCGCGGACCTTTGACCATAGGGGGTTTGACCATAGGGGGTTTGACCACAGCGGAGCTTTGACCATAGGGGGCTTTGACCATAGGGGGTTTGACCACAGCGGGCCTTTGGACCATAGCGGTGCTTTGACCATAGGGGGTTTGATCATAGGGGGTTTGACCATAGGAGGTTTGATCACAGGTATTTTCTCAGCAGAGGGTCTTTGATCACAGGTGGTTTGTCAACGAGTGTTTGATTACAAGCGCTGTGTCCGGCTTTGATCATAGGTGTGATACAATTAACACGATTTTATACATGTTTCCTGTAAGATACGTTAATAGAAATTAACATGTATTTAAAAAAAGCCAAGAACTAAATTTTAGTCTCCACATAAAGGCTGGTGCTAGACCTCATAGATTTATTTTAAATATATAAATGAAGCACAAATAATGCGACATATAACAAGTTTCACAAATAAATGATTGTAGAAGTACTTGAAAAACATAGCATATATAAAGGATAAAAAATGATACAAAACTTGCCAACAATATAGTCAAAGATGTAATACATAAAATGGTTAACTAAATGACAGATGTGCTATAGCACGCAAATATGTCAGTACATCTGTTTGACCATATTATTTCATCATGTCGAAATTTTAAAATATAATTTAGCAACTTTTAAAATAAATCCTTACCATACATGGACAGCATTGGACAAACCACCTGAGATCAAAGACCCTATGTGGACAAAAACACCTGAGATCAAAGACCCTATGTGGACAAGACACCTATGATCAAAGCCGGACACAGCGCTTTTGATCAAACACAAGTTGATAGACCACCTGTGATCAAAGACCCTCTGCTGAGAAAACACCTGTGGTCAAACCCCCTATGGTCAAACCCCCTATGGTCAAACCCCCTATGATCAAACCCCCCTATGGTCCAAAGCGCCGCTATGGTCAAAGGGCCCGCTGTGGTCAAACCCCCTATGGTCAAAGCACCTGTGGTCAAAGGTCCTAGGACCGATGTCACCCCCTAAATGGTGTCACTCGGTGCGGTCCGCACCCCCCCCCCCTCGCTACGCCTCTGGTCCATGCAACTTTCAGCACACGAAATGTCTGTCGGACGTCTTTGAGCCTATCCATCTTTCCAGAGTAGGCCTACACGTCATGCGTATGGGAATATCGACACGGCTAGGTAAAGAGCTGGCCTCCACGATCTTTTTATCCACAGAGGTCTGTTTCAGACACTTCATTTGGGTTTTCGGTTGATATGTTAACATCTCAGAGTGTTGTTTCTAATGAGGTTGATGCGTTTATGTTTTTTTCCTTCTGAGTTTAATACCCCCCCCCCCGTGTTTGATGCCGATGTGTCAGACAAGATGTGTTTATGCCTTTGTGGTTGATTCTAAGCTTGATGCCACTGTTTTTGATGCCCTGTATTTAATGCCCCTGTATTTAATGCCACTCTACTTGATGCCCTTGCACTTGATGCCCCCGTACTTTATGCCCATGTACTTGATGCCCTTGTACTTGATGCCCCTGTAATTTTTGCCCCTGTACCTTGATGCCCCTGTAACTTAATGCCAGTGTACTTTATGCCACTATATTTAATGCCCCTGTACTTCTTGATGCCATTGTACTTGATGCCACTGTACTTTATACCACTGTACTTGATGCCCCTGCACTTTATGCCACTGTACTTTATGCCACTGTACTTGATGCCCCTGTACTTTATGCCACTGTGCTTGATGCCCATGCTCTTGATGCCCTTATACTCGATGCCCCTGTTCTTGATGCCCCTGTTCTTGAGCCTGCACTTGATGCCACTGTACTTGACGCCCACTGAGGCAACGATGAAGTCCCATCATCAAAAAGTAAGACACTTAAAAATGAACGAACATGAAAATACACTTGAGAAAAAAGCAAAAAAAGGAGTCAAATTTTTATTACTTTTCCCCGCATTTTGCCAATAATATAATATATTGATATTAACATTTTTTCAAATCATGATGACAAATATTATTCTAACAAAAATAATTTAAAAGGAGGGGAAAAAAAGATCACCTGGTCCGGCTTAGAAACACTGAGCGTAATGGATGTATTCTCTAATGGTGAGTGAACCACGCCTTATAAAGATCTTTGATGATACAAGTCCACCCGATACAGCCTATATAAATCCACGCGACATTATCTATATTTGTAATGTAACATAGTCAAAAACATTGAATTGATCTGATAAGTTCTAGTGGAGTTATAAATATCCATGGGCAAGTTTGGGGCGGATGGAAGGGAATCTAAAAAAAACCAGTCTCTTCCAGGAAAATGACTACGTTCCATCAATAGAATATATATATATATATATATATATATATATATATATATATATATATATATATATATATATATATATATATATATATATATATATATATATATATATATATATATATATATCCAATACGGCTTCCAACTTTCTGTTATTAATAGAATACTAGCATAGGTTTAAAAAAACATTAAATATAGTAACATTTTCGGTATGAGTATTGTGGTATATTTTATAGGCGTATGAAGATGTAACAACTTTATTACAAATTACTTGTATGCTTTCTAAAATAAGTTTTGTAAACCTCTCAAGATTAGAGATTGGTTTCTATAATAAACTTTTCCCCTAACAGGCAATTTACGAGAAGCTGGTACGAGAAGGATATCGCAAACGGTTTCCTGAAAAGTTTTTTGCTGGGTTGGAATTTGAAAAAAATGGGCATGTTTCCGGTTTCCTCGAGGCTGCTGGCGAAAGTCGTCGGGCTCCACTGTAACTCCGTGTTGGTGCCGACTTCCTTGTTCTTCCTGGCATCAATCAGTTTCTCCAGCCATGTTTTTTTAGGCGGCTTTTCCGCTTTGTGGGTTTCCAGGCTTTGGGACAGCTCTTTGTTTTTGACGTATTTGTCGTAGTGCGGGGTGTCGACAATGTGGAAGAGGGTATCGTTGTTTCGCGTGATGTCGTCGGGTTCGATTTTACTGCAGACTTGGTCTAGACGCATGCCTTTAGAGAGCAGCTCGCAGTTTATCCTTTGGTGGGTGTATAACGGGTGCCGGCTTCCCATTTTTAGTTTGAACAACCTCCTTCTTGTGGGTTGTTTCCGCAGACTCAAGGGCGATAAATCTTCTTGTGATATGAACGCCGTCGTCGAAACCTTGTCTGAACGGGACCCGAAATTGCATTCGCTGGAGACGTTTTTCCGCTTTCCGTTTAGGATATCCTGGTGAAATTTATTCAACACGGCCATGATTTTCATGTTGCGCGTGTGTTTTCCCGGCTGCGGGAGCAGGTTGAATTTGTTGCAGCCGGGCGGGGAGGTGGGCGGAGGACAGGCTCAACTTCCGGCGTTTCTCGCGCATCCATTGGATACTATCATAAGCGGATGCGAACTCCATCCCTTTCTTCGCGGAGATGATCCCCAACTTGGATATGATGGATAGTTTCTTGTTAATACCGGGATCCGCGTTAGACTCCATTTGGTTATCACTATCTCCGATGTATACATTCTCGTTAGAGAACCGCCTCATCAACTTGGGGGTTCGCGTCGGGCTGGCTGTTTTACTGCGCCGTTTAACAACGGGCCGAGGGCTAGTTCGGGCGCTGGGCGGGAACTTGGAATCCCTGAGCGCCTGGGAGTAGATATCCCGGCGTAGCTTGCATATCCTCTTCTGTATCTCATCACGGTTATCCCCGTAGTATTTCGCCCCTGAGGCTTTCATCGTGTCTCACAAGGAATTGGCCGTGTCTTTGAAGAAATATTTTAAGTTTTGGTTTTAATTTGGAAGGTTTGGACCAGAGGATTGTCCAGGCTATGAGTTTTGGTATATATTTGGAAGGTTAGAATCAGGGGACTGTCCAGGCTATGGGAGTAGTGTTGGTGCTGGGATACTATGGCGTTATGAGTGCGCTACACTGGGGGTACAGATGGGTCACACTGGGGGTACAGATGGGTCTAGCATCGCACTGATGTGTTACGTGTGTTGTATCACGCGGGTGGATTTGGGCGGAGTCACGGGTTTAAAGGACAGCTGTTCCTGGGCCCGGGTTGGTCTGTGAATGTAAACAGTAAATGCTTAGGGTTAAAGGTGTACATATTTACAAAGTTAATTAGACTTATGTGTTTAAGGGAAGAATAGATTAAATTATACCCCCTCTCCCCCCAGTCACACATCGTAAAAAAAACAACCCAGACACCCCCCCCCCCCCCGTCCTTTAAAACGCAGTCTGAAGTCATTGAATAGATTTACAGTCTAGGATCAACGAAACAAGGTCATCACCTCCCACCCCCTGCCAATCACCCCCCCCCCCCCCGTCAAGTAACCACCCCGTTAATGTATTTCATGACAATTATCCCTGCCTCAAAAACTTTCGTGAGATATTATCCCGCTGTTAATTAAAATTTGGACCATAAAACTTATTACAATACTACACCTAATCTTAACTGTAAAATATGGCCAGAGCTAAGGCTAAGCGGCTAATGTTAAGGCTAAGGTTAAGGTTGAGGTTAACGCAGAGGCGTAGCGACCCCTCCCGGCGCCCGGGGACAAACTTTCAATTTGGCGCCCCCCCCCATATATTTTTATATTTATAATGCAAAATAGCAACTAAAATGAGCTTGTTTTGGCGCCCCTAGGGTTGGCGCCCGGGGACATATGTACCCCCCCCCCCCCCGTTGCTGCGCCTCTGGGTTAACGGTTAAAGGTACAGCTAGGACACCTATAATGGGATAGATCTATGGGCTATTTTATCCAACATTTTCTTGGATGTTAACCTCATTATGGCGCGGAGTAAATTTTATTAAGCAACATATAATCTACACTGAACTGTCTATAGTCTATACTATACAAACGGGCTCTGTATAATTATAATAAAACACTACAGTTGATTTATTACAAATTAAAACCAATTAAAACGGAGCGTCTGTTTTGAAGCTGCTTTACGCTAAATTCACCTGAGTTCGACTCATACGTACCTTTATTGTAGCCCTAAAACAACCCCTTCCTGTTAGCTAAGTTTAGACTGTTTTTTTTAGTTGACTTTTTTACTACACAACTCCCATTTTTTATTTTTTTCTAAATTCTAAAGAGGAAATAAACATCAGGATGTGACGTCATTGTTACCCGACATTAAAAAATAATATCGCAAAATGGTTAAAAACGAAAATTATTTGTTTTTTTTTTCTTCAGAAAGTTAGGATAAAATATTATATTTATACTTTAAAACATTATTTTTCTTTGGCCTTTATTTCTGCTAAAAAAAACAAACAAACAATTTGATATTCATTAGGAAATCCCTGAGTCACGGGCGAAGCGGCCTATTCCGGCGTCTGGGGCGAACTATCAATGTTGCGCCCACCATTCAAACTTTGTTATTCACGTTGGCGAAAAATTCCGCCCCTCCCCCCACACACATACCGATTCAGGAAATCAGTCTGCAAAGCCAAATAGCAGTCTATTTTCTGAAATTCGACTTTGCAAAGAGAGCTTTTTATTTTTTTCCTACCCCGTTTGTCGCCCCTGCCCCCCGGATTAGCGCACGGGGCGACCTCCCCTCACGCCCTCGCCTAGATACGCCTCTGCCCTGAGCTTATCCAACTTATGGGATCTTATCTCTTTGAGGAAATCAAAAGCAGCTGGGCATCGTACTGGCAACACTATTCCTATGTGTGCCTAGATCACAGAAACAAGTGAACTCTACTTCATCTGACTAATGCACCCCAGGTTCGAAAAGGTAGCTTTACATTTATTATGATCGTACTCGGATATAAGGGGTATGCCAAGGCGCCATAAACTAAAAGTTTAAATCCGTCTATGTCAGTGATTTGTAGGTCCCGAACCCCACCAGTTTTGTATGCGCATTCACCGAACCTTTCTTAATAGTTCTACCAACCACGATGACAAACTCCAGTCGTGAATCATTTGAGTCGTGTGTGTGTTAACCTCCGCCGATCCTCTGATACTGACTCAACGAAACCCTAGGGTTCGATCAAACCCAGGTTAAAACCCACTCTGCCCGTCAACACTCTGAGGTGCAGTAGCGTAGCGAGGGGGGGGGGGCGGCGCCAAAATGGGTTGGAAAAATAAATTGAAAGGTGGAGGGGGTGGAAATCAAAAGTTTGAAGGGGGGGGGGAGGGTGCAAATCAAAATCTCGAGGGGGGTGCAAATCGAAAGTTTGAGGTGGGGGGTGCAAATCGAAATCTCGAGGGGGGGTGCAAATCGAAAGTTTGAGGGGGGGGGGGGGAGGGGTGCTAATCGAAATCTCGAGGGGTGCTGCAAATTGAAAGTTTGAGGGGGGGTGCAAATCAAAATCTCGAGGGGGGGGGGTGCAAATTGAAAAGTTTGTCCCCGGGCGCCGGGAAGGGTCGCTACGCCTCTCCTGGGGTGAAATGTAAAGAGGACGGAAATGGATAGATCACACGCACCGGAAACTGACGACCCTTACGGCAAGGTGGATTCTGGCATGGTATCAACAGGGCAAAATATTCGTGGAGAATAGTGGGTGGGTTCTCCCCCCCCCAACCCCAAGCCACGCCTATAGATCTTGGCGATGGCTAAAAATTTTTCTCTGGAACTCAGATCAACTATTCTATTAGCCGTTCCATGGCATCAGGCATCTCATGGGGGGGGGGGGGGGGGGACGGACGACGGACGGACACTGGTAAAAGTATATATTTTCTATATAAATCCATTTAGTTGGGGAGGTGGGGGTGGTAGACGTTCTTCTGCCCCGAAGAGATGCCTGGAAGAAACTCTGAGGGGGGAGGGGCACAGCTAGTATACTGCCACGGGCCATCTCCCCCTCCCTCCGCGACCCTCCCTCCTCCCAGGAATTCAACTGCGCATCTCCCCCCCCACGAAAGTTTCTAGAATCCCCCCCCCCCCACCCTGGAAAAATACAGTTGAGGCTGAAAGAAACACTGAACGCTAATGCCTAAAAGAGTAAAGTTCCTTCAGTTTAAATTGAATTCAATACGCCACACTCTTTTCATTGCAAATGTTGGCCCGTTTGTGGAAAAAGAAAAACAGTTGGTATAGTCTTATCTTGCCTTTAAATGTTTATGTTTTCAAGGAGTTTACTTTGTTGCTTTCAAACCTCAACGGGACTACCCGAAAACAAAATGCGTCAGCTAGTCTCAGACCGAATTCTTCTTTCGCCTGAAAATAGAAAACTCTACCTTGACATCACATCCGGGTTGTATTTGTAACTAAAACAGCTGTTCAGTTTATAACATCAAGGATGCACCAAATCTCATTTAGGTACTTGCTTTATGTATTAAAGACGATATACAATATATATGTGCTTGAGAATATCTTTATTTTAATATTACTTTAGACACAACATTCTATTGAATACACATTAGAATTGCTACATTTGACTTTTGAAATATTTGGCTTCTAATGAATTAATTATTAATGATCTATATCAAATTCTAGATTACATCACTATTTATAACTAACCAGTACGCTAAAATGCACGGTAGATCTATGTTAATACTAAAAATCTGAGTAAACTTGAAGTAGAGTTCAGCACAAGTATGTGCATTGTTTTGTTTAAATCTCATTTATTATTTAAGTTATTGCTTTATTAGTACAACCAATTACTTCACCTTATTATATATATATATATATATATATATATATATATATATATATATATATATATATATATATATATATATACCTAGGTTCAATCAATTTTATTTCTTGATAAATGTGATTGCAATCAAAGAAAAAGGCTGTAAGCCTACTAAAATTAATGCAGCATTTGTTTCAGACCATCGAAGTTAAGTCTTGAGGTACAGTTTAATGGACTTTAATATTATTTTAAAAATTTAAACCAAAACCAAATAATTCCAACTGAAGAACGAAACAGCCAGAGCTCATTTGTTCTACTTCTCTATGAAATGCACACCATCTAAAACGAGGCTGTTTATCACGTGATTGTAGGAATGGAGTTCCATCGTCTGCATGTGTCTGTTTCAAGATCCTGGAGTATTTTTAGCTGTTCCGGAAATGACGTCAACCATGAACACTAGTCAGAAAAACACACTGTGGTTATTCTGAGCTATGCGATCCAGTTTTATGGACACTATCGAGGGGGGATGTGTAGATATTACATAAGAAATACACACGTCTAGAGTAGAATTTTTAAAATATTTTTTTTTAAGTCAGCATATTAGAAAAATGGCCCTATGTCAAAAAGCTACATTGCACAAAAGAAGCTGGGGGGATTATTCGAAATACGAAAACATTGAGCAAGATAAGATAAACGAAACGAAAAATAACGAAATTGTGATGTTCAACGAGAGTATGCTGGGGACTCAGAATAAAAGGGACGTCACTGAGAGAGATAAGCTTGTCATCACAGTGTATCACGATTTCTTCATCCCTCCGCCCTTTGATAAGTCGTTGATCGTCAAGCGAGATGACACAGAAACAACCACAAAGCAACCCATTATTAAAAAAACCTCGACCAAAAGCAAAAGCCCCAAGTCTTCGAAAAGGCGGAAAACGCGCTGTATCAATCTGCCGCCGAGAAACGGGATCAGTCTAGATTCCACGAAGATCTCCCAACTGAAAGCGCAGTTTATGGAGCGATACATGAAGGAGAAGCAAATCAGGGAAGAGCGAAGGCAACAGATGGCTAAAGCAGAGATGGAGAAATCAAATAACGTTGGCAGGGATTCGAAAAAAATGGCCATGGAGGCGTATTTCATGGAGATGCGCAGGGCGACGATTCGCGAAAATTTGAAAGCGCGTTCTGCCGCTCAGAAGTTCGCTCAGGCCTCCCAGTCTCAGTCCCAATCGACCTTACACGAAAATAAACGATCCGATTCTTCGGACAGCGACTCCAGTCTGATTACATCCAGCAAACAGACGTCCGTGTCTTTCCGAGTTTTGCCGATCCGCAACGACAAATCCGCCAGCCGGGGGATTTTTTACAAGGGGAAGACGGAGCGTCAGAGATCCAGGAGTTTGTTTCAATACGCCAGCGAGAGCTCGTTTCTGTCGCACGATCACATCTTTGACAGCCCGAAGATCGTGAACGCCGTCAGTGATTGGATGTATAAGTCGGCGTCTGTTAGGGGCCGGGCAGACGAGAGGAAGGACGTGGTTTCCTGCGCCAACAGTACCGTTCGCGCCAGCATTGTCCAGATGCAGAACTTCAACTTAACCCCGAAGACAGATAAGCGCGCGTCGAAGGAAACATCGTCCCCGTTGCCGGTGAAAAGAAAAACCAACGAAAAGAACATCATGTCTGAGTGCGCAGGTCAAAACCTCAAAAAATGCACGAGCGTTTTGTTAACGGCTAGTTCCGATTCCTCGGATAGTTTAAATGTCAAGGACACTGTTGACAAAATATTATCCGCACGGCGCTCCAAGTTGTCGTCGTCCGCAGCGGCGTTGGAAACCAGCAAGAAAAAGAACGTGAGGCCACACAAGAGCAACACAACCAACGTCTGCGGCCCGTCCGTCGACACGGTCAAAGACAACACGAACAGCTCGGCGCTGACGACCAACGGCGAAGTCCTGGGCCGCACCAACAACCGCAGCGATAGCGGCGAGAGGGAGATGACGTCAAGCGAGAGCCGCTTGAGAATCATCCAACGGACGCATCCAGACCGCCGGGGCAGAAATTTGATCATCAACGACTCGTCGTCCGCCGTAACCAGCTCGGAGATATCCGAGGGCATTTTCGAAATGAAAGACTCGAGCGCGACGGAAAACTCCACGAAAACGCTGTCGCGGAAAAAAAGCAGCGTTTATAAAAAATCGCCCGTACCGGTGCCTAATCCGGAGTTTTTCGAATCCGGGTCCACGTCATATAATGTATCGAGCCTGGCTTCGATGAGCAACAACGAGCTGAACTTCTACGCCGACACGCGACGCGGGATGAGCAAAGTCCACATGGGCAAGAAAACCCTGAGCGCCCCTCCAAAAATCGACAACCGCAACGCAGTCCGGTCGCCCGCGAAATCAAACCGGACCGCCATACCGGTTCGACGCCGGTTCTCAGACATAACCAAAGACCAGAAAGCGAAACCGGAAAAAGTTTTGCCCCAGACCAAATCTCAGCCTCAGATGACGTCACAGAAACGCGAGCTGAAAGTCTTTATATCGGCGCCGCAGATTCAGTTTAGTAAACCGAAAATCTCGACCGACGCCGTCAAGAGGGCGAGCCCCGCCGCGCCAAGAACGCACACGCCTTTAAAATTTGCACCAGTCGTCACTAAGATAAAAAAATCGGAAATTATTCGGAAAATCACACCCGCCTCCTCGACCAACACGAGTTTCAACGTCGTCAATACAAAAAGAGCTTTCAAAAATGTACGCCCTAAAAAAAATAAATTCAATCACGAGGATTTCAAAGCGTCGTATGAGGCCGCAATAGACATCCAGCACGACCGGATCCAGTCGTTAAAACGGGCGTTAAGTCTCGTCAACAAGGCGAACGAGAACGAGGCCAAGGCACCGAACAAAGTTCAAAAGAGGGCAAAAAGCGTAACGCCGAAACCGCCGTCAGAGAATACCACACAAACGAGCAAAACAATCAAACCAAAAACATCCGAGGTCGTTGTCGATAAAAGTAAACTTTTACCCTCCCATCTGAGAAATTCGAAGCAGACGATCGCCACTTCCATGACGTCTATGTTAGCAAAAACTTCGTTAAAAATCGACGGGGCTAAAACTCTGAGCAAGTCCACATCGATGGACTACAGTATCGTTCATCTCAAGCCCAGCACTACCGCGAATAAGTTAGTCACTAGCCAAGACGTGACGAAAATAGACCAAGCCATTTCAGTCAACACCGCGGCGTCTAAAGACATTCAGACGGAGGAGTCGAAACTAGCGCTCAAACAAGAGCCCACACAACCACCGCAGACGACAAACATCCCTGACAGCAGTAAAGTGGTTACAGAAACGGTAAAAATTGCCGAAACACCGATAAAGAATGCTACTAGCGAATTAGGCGCTGTAAAAACAAGTTTAACTGGTTTGCCCGCTAGCAAGGTGAGCTCAGTACCGATGTCGTTTGGGAGAGTTAACGACGCTAAAGAGAGTAAGATCCCCTATTCGGACCCGGCGTTAAAGAGAGATAAATCTCCAACAAAAGTCAGCAGTAATCGGTTGCAATCTTCAACAACCACAGACAAGCCGGCCTCGTCGCCTAATTTAACCAGCGCCGAGAAACCGCGATCAACCTCGGAGCAAACCGAAGTCAAGCTCGCTGAAAAGGTGAACCAAGTTGAACCCACGTCTAAAGAAGAACAGCAACCGTCACCCAAACACCCCAAACCAATCTGGCGACCGCTGAAATCTAAGCCACAGAAACCTTGGACTTCTAAGTTAGGGAAAAGTTTTGACAAACTCAAATCGAGCCCGACAAGAAGTGATATCAAATTCATCAAAAACGGACCCAGAAGCCAATCTTATGGCGGGATGGAGACGTCTATATTTAGCGATATGGACACGGCGGAGATCGAATCCACACTCCACAAGCGTCTGTACAGCCAAACCAGCTCCGCGGCCTCCCTCAAGAGCGAGTCTCGTCTCGATTCCCACCGCGAGAGCTTCCAAAGGTTCATCGAACAAACCAGAGGCAGCGCCAGCGAGATCAACCAGCACAGCGTCCAAAAGATATCAGACAACATTTTTCGTTTACGCGTCGAAGAGTTGAACCGTCTGAAAAAGATCGGATCATCCGTGGACACCCCCGATATCTTTGTCGTCCGTAATACTAAATTTCATAATCGATTACGACCTTACCAGTCCGAATTTCAAGAATCGAGGACACCGATAGACGACGAACAAAGTACGGTAAGTGGCAATGAAAAAGATAAGACGAAAGTTTTAAATGGAATGTCAAAACGTCGAAACACGAGGCGAACGACCAAGAGCTCGCCCGGCAATGACGGGAAAAGGAACGAGCTCAATTTTCTGGCGGATCAGCTGAAGCCTTCGAACAAGTACCTGAAGATTCTCTTCAACTTGAGCAACCAGACCGTGTTTCAGGCGGTGGACACCCAACCCAGTGTAACATCCCAGGCTCAAGCCCCCGCGCCCCTCTCTGAAATGGACAACTCCTCATCTGTTGACCCTCACGTATCCGCGCCCCAGCTCAGCCCCTTTTCTCTGTCCAAGACCTTTCATCCGTACACCCAGAAAGTCAAATCAGCCGAATCAACCCCAATCTTCGAGAAAACCCACCCGAAGGGAACAGCTTTATTGAAAGCAGAAAAATTAAAAAGCGGGGAAAAATTAAAACCTGCAGAGAAAACGCCAAAAAGGCAGTCTTCAGCGGAACAAAAAATGGTGCCTTTATCGGAGCAAACGGGGAACTCAGAACAAGAGCTTGAGTCGCCTAAATCTGCTAAACCAAAGGCTAAATTTATCCACAAACAAACTAGGTACATTACCTCAGCCAGCAGCGCTGCTAAATATAAAAATGTTAAAGGGAAAACGAAAGCGTTGTGGAATGTTCCGAGCCCAAAGCTTCTCAAGATGGAATCAGCATCTTTCATAGACATAAACAATCCGACACCGAATGAATTGAACCCCGAGGTTTTGGTCAACCGTGAGACAGTCGCCAGCTCTGCGATTAGTTTGTCTGGCTCCCCCGTGGACGCCAGGAAGCCTCCAGACTCCATACTGGTCAAACAGCCCGAGGAAAAGTCTGAGTCTTCATCCCAGACCGACAGCAAGAAAAACAAGACGAAGTTTTATCTAGACCCGCCCTCAGAGGCGGCGAGACGGCAGAAGCTGGCATACCTTGCCTACGTCACCACGGGGATGAGACTCAAATTCCCGGAAAATGAAATACAGATGATCAAATACCTGGCGTCCAACGAGTCGAAGATACCAGCGGACTCCCAAGAGGTCAAGAAACCCAAGGCTAGCCACAACAGACGGAAGAAGAACAACTTAGCCTACTACGAATACAACGAGAAAGGACACCGAAAAAAACACGCCAAGGCCAAAAAGGTTTTAAGGGTAGTTCGATCCAACCCCCAGCCGGCTTCGCTTAACCGCTCTGAACCCTCCACCAGCGCGGCTTGCCAAAGAGTTAAAAAAACCTCAATGGTGAGCAGTTTTGTCACTGCTAAAGCTCCCGCGGTGCTTAAAAAAGCCTTGTCTTTTAAGTCGCGCAGTCGTAAGCATCGAAAACCCGTCACGCAAGTGGTAATGAAACACAAAACGAAGGCGCCGCCACGCAGGCCTCTGCACGCGGCGACGCCTTCAAATTTCAGAGAGAACCTCCGCATCTTGTCGGTGTTAAACCGGTACAAAAATAAAGGTAAACCTAAGGTAGACATGTTGAACCAGGCCTCGCAGTTGTTTGACCTAAAGACTGAACTAGGTACCTCTCCTCTTCATATTTCACCTGACCATAACAAACCTTCCACTTCAGGTGAGAAAGACCGCGCAATGTCTCAACTAGCACGCTCGCCTGCACGAGACAACGTGTCTTCAAACAGCTCGTACGACATGCAGCCATGCAACCGTCTCCCCCCGGCGATCAAAGTTTCTAAAAAGACAATACAAAAAGTCTTGAAAAAAACCGTTTCTTCCAAAAAAGTCGTCGGTAAATCCAAATCCGGACTGGCGTCTGACTTGGCCACACTCTGCGACAGTCTAGAGATGAGCCCTAAGCCACCGAAGAAGAAGCTGGTAAAAGGCCGGCGCCACAAGAATAAATCTCAGAACGCCGCGAGCGACGAGAAAGCTGCGAGGTTTCGCCTGACGAAAACGAATGTCGACCGGATGGTTCACGTCACGAGTCTCTTGTCCTCTGAGAAAATGGTCGGCTCCGACACGAGATCTAACGCCTGCGGTAAACTGTATTCCATATCTCATGTGCCTGGAAAAGTCGGCATGGCCGTTGTTGCCGCGCCTAATGTAAGCTTACCTGCTGATAAAAATACCCGGGAAATCAAAGTTTTGAAAGTCAAGCTGAATTCTCGTACAGGGGTTCAAAATCAACTAAAAAACTGCAAAATTGAGCCAGTAGGCAACAGCTCTATAAAAACCACCGGCAATGCTTTACACAATAAAGTGAAATCAACCGAGAAACCTTTACAAAAATCGAGCGCTTTTTACCAGCGGGTCATGTCGAAGGTTAACAAGAAAGAAACCCCTACACGTCGTCAGCACGCAGCAGAGTTCAGCCAATCAGCACAGCTTAAAAGATTAACCCCCGGCTTTCAAATGACGCCCGACGTCCAGTTGAAATCGAAATCGGAGTCCCTTTTAAACGGGTACCTGGTCAAAGGGTACCCCAAGCACATCCACCCACGCAGTAATACAAGCTCGAGAACCACCAGCACGCCGAGGAAAGGCCGCGGTGTATCTCCTGCTCACGCGGACCACCGCGCCTCCTCGTTGAACTCACGACGAGAGCCCGTCCCCCGGACATCTACTCCCAAGCTCCGCCCCTGTCAGTGGTTTACTCCAATCAAACCGGCACCAATCACCAAGGAGGACCCATCCTCCGACTGTAGATCCAACCTAATCGCTCGCACAGATAGACGCGTGCGTTTCTTGCAAAGTCTAAGTAAAAAGTAAAAAAAAAAAAATAAAGCTGGATATATCGTAGAATAAATTTTTAAAAGCTGTTTGTCTATAAATAGGCGGCTCACAAAAACCAATGTAACCAACGAATGAAATAAATAAAGTATGCAGCAAAGGTTTTTTGTTTGTTTTGTAGTCACTGTGAAATTACGTTTCGTTTTATTTTTTATAGTAACATCAAACGTTTTTCTTTATTGAAGTTTAATTTATTTGGGCTCGAATAGGTAAGATGTCACTGAGTCCACCCAGCTCTGATTAGTACCCCACTCACGTTAGTGTATGTGAAGGTGACTGAACACACTATCCGAGGTCACAGGTGAACTCTACTTCATCTGCCATATTGACCGCCTGGTCCGAAAGTGTAAACTAACTCAAGTGTAAACGAACTCAAAAACACTATTTCAAACTTTTCAGTGAAAGCCTAGTCGAGGTCGCAAATAAATGGCTACATCGTCTGATAATGTCGATTGGATAATTGCGCCTAAGAAATCAAGGCGTAAGTTGAGAAGAGCCGGATGTTGTTCATAAATCAGACCACCCCCCCCCACTCTACTTTCTCCACAGAGCGACAGACCCCCCCCCACTCTTTGCACATACCACCTCTCTCCACGCAGCAGATAGACCAAAAAGAGAGAAGCTGCATGTATACACTCGTAGGGGGGAGGGGGGGGGGTCGGTAATTTTGTGATGAGGGGGAGGGGGGGGGGGGGGTTAAGATGGTGCGACAATAAGAAATGTTAGAAAATGAATTTTAGACGTTATTTCGCGTTTTAGAAAACAGTTTTAATAAATTATAATAGGAATTGATTACAATACTCTATTTTGACATATTTCAGACAAAATTTTAGAAAAATGTCGATGTTTAAAAAAAAATGCAACTGCAATTTTGAGGGGGGGGGGGGGGGTTATAGGCTGAGGTGTGACGTCATTTTAGGGGGGGGGGTGGCTTTTTGTGACGACGTGTGACGCAGGGTAGGGGGGGGGGGTAGGTAAAAATCGTCAAAAAAGCGTGACGTCATTTATGGATGACCCCTTAGTACATGGTTGAAATTAATGTACGTTTTGACGAAGGTCTTTTGCCGAAACTTCATGTCAATTTTTTTTTTGTTAAAAAATACTTGTGTAAAGTAAAACTTGTCATGAGATGGACATGACAGGTGTTGATTTAAAAAAAAAAGGAAAGAATTATTTCTTTTCGTTTCATATCCATGAAGGTTTTCTATCCCCTGTCCTAACTATTACTCTCTACCTCTCTGACAATATGGAATTAAAATCCAATGTAAACAAGACTTTCTCTATACTTCGTATATACGAGAAAGTAAAAAATACAGAGCCGAAATTCTTGTAAAACAACAACATACGGATTGAAGAAAAAAAAATAAACGAAACAATTAAAATATAACAACAAACAGTAAATAAAAAACATCGTTTATTGTAAAAGTATAATTTTTATACAACTAAAAGTGGTTATGCGTCTCCTGCCACGATCTCACTCTCAATACTGCATTCGTTTTTACCCTTGGCAATCTTGAAGAAGCCTGAAAATTAACAAACAAATTTTATAAAGTACAAGCCGACCCGCGGTATATCATACGCCGCTATTTAGTAATTGTTTTTTCTACTTCTCAGTTATTCATAATTTGTGAATTCGACACTACCAACGCTGCCACTGAAATTGTTTCTTTAAAACACTATAAGTAGCTCGTTAAGGACGATAACCCCCCTCCTCCCCCTCCCCCACCCCCTCCGTTAAAGTAAACTCCACTTAGTTACCCCCCCTACGTTTAAAATCGTTTCAAACTAAATTATCTGCCCCTAATAGTCGTCACTAAACCGGGCTCTGTAAACATTTAGAGTGAACCACAGCTCACCAGACCATGTAGGGGTGGGGGTAGTTGGGAGCGCGTTTACAGCTTGTTTTCTAGCGTCTCCCAGAAGAGAATTAATTATATATATATATATAGATAGATTATGCCATAAAATCGCGTAAATTAACGTGTGATTATTTGACTTTTTAAAATTTGTTGGATTTCTGTATGTTTGTTACATCTCACATCGATTAGGCGCCGTGCTTAGTTTGTTGTGTTCTTGAGTTGCTAAAGTAAACAATCCTCGCGACAACCATCAAGAAGAGTTTGTTGAAGACGAACTAACCCATTTCCCTCTACCCAGCCTAAATTAGCTTGTACTTGACCACAATATGTATCACCCAAAAACAAGTAACAAGCACTACCTTGACATTGACCCACCTTTGACACCCGATCCTCACTCCATTAGTTGGCAACCACCCAGTGACCTTGACCCTCTCTCCGGCTCAGTATTGCCTTGATCCATCTCCCCTGATCACCCTAACGCAAAATGACCTTGACCCAACTCACTCCCCAACCACCCCAAACTCTTCATGAACTTTACCCAAATTCATAAGCTAGCCACCACCCAGTAACCTTGACTCAGCATGACCTTGACCCATCGCCCTGACCCACCCTCGACATGAACTTAACCCATGAGTTGGCCACCTGCCAGTAACCTTGACCTCATCCCCCAACTCGTCGTCCTTGACACATCCCTCCAACCAGCTATGACCTTAACCCATCTCACCTACCTTGACCTTGATCTACCTTTATCAACCGTCCTCATTCCACGAGTAAGCCACCAGCCAGTAACCTTGACACCATCCCTCCAACCAACCATGCCCTTGACCCATCTCCCCACCCACCCTGGACTTGACCTTGATCTACCTTTATCACCCGTCCTCATTCCATGAGCTAGCCACCAGCCAGTAGCCTTGACCCATCGATCCAACCTTGACCTACCTTTGTCACCCCAATCCTCATTCCACCAGCCAGTAGCCTTAACCTATCAACAGCATGACCCACCCCCAACATGACCTTGACCTACCTTTGTCACCCCAGTCCTCGTTCCATGAGTTGGCCACCAGCCTGTAGCCTTAACCCATCAACAGCATGACCTTGACCCATCTCCCATGACCCACCCCCAACATGACCTTGACCTACCTTTGTCACCCCAGTCCTCGTTCCATGAGTTGGCCACCAGCCAGTAGCCTTAACCCATCAACAGCATGACCTTGACCCATCTCCCCTACCCACCCGGACATGACCTTGACCTACCTTTATCACCCCAATCCTCATTCCATGAGTTAGCCACCAGTCAGTAGTCTTAACCCATCAACAGCATGACCTTGACCCATCTCCTTTATCCCACCCCAATATGACCTTGACCTACCTTTGTCACCCCAGTCCCCATTCCATGAGTTAGCGACCAGCCAGTAACCTTAGCCCACCCCTCCAACTCACTATGACCTTGACACATCTCCCCATCCCACCAAACATGACCTTGACCTACCTTTGTCACCCCAGTCCTCGTTCCATGAGCTAGCGACCAGCCAGTAACCTTAACCCATCCCTCCAACATTATGACCCTGACCCATCTCCCCTACCCACCCTCAACATGACCTTGACCAACCTTTATCACCCTTCCTCATTCCATGAGTAAGCCACCAGCCAGTAAGCTTGACACATCCCTCCAACCAACTTTGACCTTGACCCATCTCCCTGACCCACCCTCGACATAACCTTGACCCATCTCCCTTTATCCCACCCTCAACATGACCTTGACCTACCTTTGTCACCCCAGTCCTCGTTCCATGAGTTGGCCACCAGCCAGTAGTCCTGACCGTTCTCCGTGCCGTATCCGATGATCTTCACGGCGTGTCCACCTTCGTAGGAGCCGGTCGTGTGCTTGTACACACCTGTGGGGGGGGGGGGGGCATTCAGTGTGTTACAGGGGTTGGTAGACAATGGTTGTTGCTAGCCAATGGTAGCTAGACAGTGGTTGTTACACAGTGGTTGTTGCTACACAGTGGTTGCTACACAGTGGTTGCTACACAGTGGTTGCTACACAGTGGTTGCTAGACAGTGGTTGTTGCTACACGGTGGTTGTTGCTACACAGTGGTTGTTGCTACACAGTGGTTGTTGCTACACAGTGGTTGTTGCTAACACAGTGGTTGTTGCTACACAGGGGTGGTTGCTACACAGGGGGTGGTTGCTACACAGTGGTTGTTGCTACACAGGGGTGGTTGCTACACAGGGGTGGTTGCTACACAGTGGTTGTTACACAATGGTTGCTACACAGTGGTTGTTGCTACACAGTGGTTGTTGCTACACAGTGGTTGTTTGCTACACAGGGGTGGTTGCTACCACAGGGGTGGTTGCTACACAGTGGTTGTTACACAATGGTTGCTACACAGTGGTTGTTGCTACACAGTGGTTGTTACACAAATGGTTGCTACACAGTGGTTGTTGCTACACAGTGGTTGTTACACAATGGTTGCTACACAGTGGTTGTTGCTACACAGTGGTGGTTGCTACACAGTGGTGGTTGCTACACAGTGGTTGTTGTTACACAGTGGTTGTTACACAGGGGGTGGTTGCTACCACTAGTTGCTAGACGGTTGTTGCTAGACAGTGGTTGCTAGACAGTGGTTGCTACACAGTGGTTGCTACACAATGGTTGCTAGGCAGGTGTTGGTAGACCAGTGGTTGTTAGACAGTGGTTGGTAGAGTGGTTGCTACACAATGGTTGCTAGACAACGGTTGCTAAGCAATAACATACAATGGCTGCTACACAATGGTTGCTAGGCGATAACACAATGGATGCTACACAATGGTTGCTAAACAACAGTTGCAAGGCAAGACAAAAAAAAAACAACAAAAAAAAAAAAACAACAATGGTAAACCACACGTTGTTTGCGAGACAAAACACACAATGGCTGCTACACCGACTGTTGCTAGATAAAAAATAAAACGGTTCCTAGACCAACGGTTGCTATGCAACAGTTGTTAGACAAAAACACAACGCGAGTCAGGCGAAAACCCAGCGGTTGCTAGCTAGACACAGATAATTCTAGAAACACAGCGGTTGCTAGCTAGACAAAGATAATTCTAGAAACATAGCGGTTGCTAGACACAGATAATTCTAGAAACCAGACCGACCTGTTTTGTAGGACAGGAAGTCGCTGTAGACATCAAAAGCGGCGGTCACTGGCCGTTGTCGACCAGCTCTTGCATGATTTGCTGGACACCCCTGACACCGTAGGATTTCTTGCCTGGAAAGAGGGGAGAGGGGGGTGTAGTTATATCAATAGCTATGATATGAATATACATTATACTCCTTACAGTATCAAGTTACCAATTAAAAAAAAAGACTTTACCAAGTTAAAATAATATGTGATTTTTAATCTGACGTTTTGATCTGTTTATTACCGTTTTC